CGTAATGCGCAGGTAAGCATAGCAGAATATTTCTCATGAAACATGGCGGGAGCTCCTAATGCACAGCTCCGAATGCAACATGGGGGGGGACCTTCCTCATGGCTTGCAGGCATGAATCATACAACAATTGAACATTTCGGTGCATGTGGCTTCCAGGCATGCAATCATATGTACCACTGATGCGTGCATGGCATGGCATGGCATGGCTGCCATGGCATGGGTGGACTGACCTTGGTTGGAGGAGGAGGGATGCCGGGGGAGCAGCTGCGGGCAACAGAGAGGGCGCAGAGACAGAGCACAGATCAAGCGTCTGGCGATTGGCTTTACACGACAAAACAGACTGCAAACAAAGACTGGACGATTCATACCATGGGGTTGCATGGGTTGTGCCATGGCGGTGCATGGGTTGTACCATGGTGGTGCATGGGTCGTACCATGGTGGTGCATGGGTCGTACCATGGTGGTGCATGGGTCGTACCATGGTGGTGCATGGGGTCTGCAGGGTTCATCTCTTTATCCATCGCCCTCCCACCACCACCACCATCACCTACAGCCGCTCCTGCGCTCAACCCTCCCCGCGCCAGCAGCAGCAGCAGCAGCAGCAGCATTGGAGTGTGCAAGAGTGGTGGCCAGCTGCTGATGCCGCCACGAGAGGGATACAACCTGTGGCCGGGGAAAGGGGGGGGGAGCGGGGGAGAGACGGGAAAGGCGGGAGGATAGAGGGTTGAGGAGAGAGGGGATGGGGGGGTTTGAGGACAGGGGCGCAGATACACTACATACTCGTAGCCAACAGGGCACGGCTAGCAGCACGAATACTTATCCACGCACACACAGTGCCACTAGCCAACAAGAGCACAGCAAGTACCCACAGCAGCACGTACCCACAGTAGCACAGCCAGCACGGCCAGCAGCACGAACACCATGCACGCCACACACAGCGCCACCAGCGCCCGCACCGGCAGCACCACCCCGCCCTCCCGCGCCCCCGCCTTGCGCCTCCGCGCCTGGGGGGAGGTGCAGGGGCGGAGGGGGAGAGGAGAGGCGAGGTGAGGAGAGAGAGGGAGAGGAGAGAGAGGAGAGAGAGAAGTGGTTAGGGGGAGAGGAAAGGGGATTGGGGGACAGGTGAGGGAATGCGACATGCGGGGAATTGTAGCATGCGGGGAGACTGTAGCATACGGGGAGACAGTAGCATGCGGGGAGACTGTAGCATACGGGGAGACTGTAGCATGCGGTGAGACTGTAGCATACGGGGAGACTGTAGCATACAAGGAGACTGTAGCATGCGGGAAGAGGCGCGTCCCTGAAGCGGAGACGGCGGAACGGAGAGGCGGAGCGAGAGGCGCGGAAGGAGGGAGGGGGGAAAGCGGGGATCGGAGCGAGAGGCGCGGATGGAACGCGGGAGAGAAGCCCGGCGGGAGGGAGGGCGGGGGAGCGGGGATCGGGGCGAGCGACTCACGGAGGGGCGTCTGGAGGACGCGCGGGAGAGACCGGTTAGATTGAGGCCCGGCATATTGACGATTGGTCAGACTGAGGCACGGCGGGCGTCTGTCGTTACTGGCGCGCGTTACGTCAACTGGCGCGCGGACGACGCAGCACCAGGCTGCGCGGACCGTGGAGCGCGGAATATGCTGCACCCGACGCGAATGCTGGAGTGTCCTGGCGCTAGACTCGACCCTAAGCGGCAATGTAGCGCGTCGACTCGCCAACGGGAAAAGGACGAACGCGTCGCGATGTTCGTCGCACGCGGCTGGTCGCGCCGGCGACGCGGAAGGAGAATGAAGAGATGTGGCTGCTCGTTTGGAATGCCGTGGTACACAACGCACCAAGAACCAGTGTGAGTTCTGGCCCCATCGCCAATGGCACAACCAGCTGCTGTACGCTAACCGCGCTACACCTTAGTAAAACTTCCAAAAACACGCTTAACCGCGTAAAAACTCTCGCGGACAAAATGTAACACGCTCTTACCTCAATATATCAGTGTGTAAGCAGGAAAAATCCTCCCATTGTTTGAACTTGAAATGATCCAGCTTGAAACGAACTCGCCTCGCCACCCTCACCAAGGTCTCACTTCACCCAGAATTATCATTCTTGTTTGAATCATAAACATCAACACTACGGGCTATCAGCAGTTTATAACAGTGTCGAGAAACGCAAACGGGGCTGACAGCAGCGCCGCACGGCCGACTTCATTATGGATTTTGAATCTGTGACCTGCCGCAAGCAAGGAAGGAAGCATGTGAATGTGAACGGCGGCGCCCATCAGCACAAACAGTTGTGTGATTGGTTGTCGTCATCATCTACCCAACCCAACCATATCACTGCCGCTCTCCTGTGACTGGCGGAGAATCTGGCGTGGAAAATCGGCCGAAAACACACTTTCATCCAGCGGTGCTCTTGAGCCAGGAAAGCTGCATGGATGTGTAGCCGTCGGATCAAGCCGAACTGTTATTGTGTCGGTTTTGAACACTAGAAGATCATCGGGGGGGAGCTCCCACCCAAACTAACCTGAATGTGCGCAGGTCCGGTATCGCGGAAGAGCGCGTTGCCTTCAGGAGGTGGGGGTTTCCCTCGCAAAAACTCAAATATTGCCAGGACCTGTGCAGCGGAAGTCGGAAGCACTGGTGTCAGCCACACGGTTACATGGTTCGCAGAATTTATTCCAGAGCTTCGAGCTGTGTCATTTTTGTTGGCGAACAATCCAGTCCTCTCGCCAACAACTCAATTCGCGCGGCTGGCTCCAACGCCTTCCGCGGTTTTCCCCCTTCGGCACAACTCGCTGGCAGACTTTCTGCGGCTCTCCGCCTGTCAGCGCAATCCATCGACAGACCGCCGAGCGGCTTCCGCCTTGGGCCTGTCGAATACTGATGGCAACTCAACTTTCCCTTCCGTTTCCGTGCCTCGCCTCCCTGCCTTGCGTTGCCAAATCTTTCGACCTGGGCAATCAGTCTCAAATCCTTTCTTCAATTCCATCCAAATCAGAGAGTTTCCTCAGGCACTACTCGGTATCTCCGAGCCCATGGCTTCCTCCGTTCGTATGCTCTTCATCGCGTCCGTCGGGTCTCTAGTAGCTTAGTCATATTAGAAACGTTAGAGCCTTTACTGGACGGTCTCCTTTATAAATCGTAATCCAAGGATATTAAATTCTTAGTAAACGCGGTTGTCTAGGCAACTAGAGCCCTCTTACCATCGCGGATTGAAGTGATCATCGACGTGAGATTGAAGACACGGCGGATGGAAGAGTATTCTTAACATAGCGGGTTGAAGACGTCATGAGTCTTCTTATCATCGCGGAAGGCATTATGGCGGTTGGAATAGTCTCTGATCATCGTGGATTGAAGACATCATGGCGGATTGAGACGTCGCTGGGAGAAGCTTCTTCTTTGCAACATCGTCGATTCTTCAAGGCATCTCGTTTAAGACGCTACACAGCCCGTGGTTACTTGTGACGTCGTTTTCGTCACGGCTTTCAATCTGATGGCGTCGTTGTGAAGGTAAAGTCGTTCCCTGAACCTCATGATTCTCGAGGGACGGGTTTCTCGTTTTCAAGTCTCTCTTTGATGCTCCTTTCTATAATTCTGATTATGAACGGATCTTCTTAACTGCAGGGATGGAAGAGACCGTTGCAGCGAGCGTCGCAGAGAGCGTCGCCGATTGACCGTGGCGGATTGAAGCGACCGTTGCAGCGAGCGTCGCAGAGAGCGTCGCCGATTGACCGTGGCGGATTGAAGAGACCGTCGCAGCGAGCGTCGCCGATTGACCATCGCGGATTGAAGAGACCGTTGCGGAGACCGTCGCAGCGAGCGTCGCCGATTGACCATCGCGGATTGAAGAGACCGTTGTGGAGACCGTCGCAGCGAGCGTCGCCGATTGACCGTCGCGGATTGAAGAGACCGTTGCGGAGACCGTCGCAGCGAGCGTCGCCGTTTGACCATCGCGGATTAAAGAGACCGTTGCGGAGACCGTCGCAGCGAGCGTCGCCAATTGACCGTCGCGGATTGAAGAGACCATTGCGGAGACCGTCGCAGCGAGCGTCGCCTATTGACCGTCGCGGATTGAAGAGACCGTCGCAGAGACCGTCGCAGGGAGCATCGCGGATTGACCGTCGCGGATTAGAGCTCGTCGCGGCGTTTCGACCCTCCCTGTCGAGGGTTCGAGTCTCGACGATCTAGGCCGCAAAAGCGAAAGCAGCGGCTGCTTTGGTTGGTGCAGCCGGGTTGGTGCAGCCAGGTTCGTGCAGTCAACGCCAATCAACGATATCCTGCACACCACAACCAACCCAGATAAGTTCCCAACTCCCCTCCCCTCCCCTCGTGACCCCCCTCCCAACTCCCCCCATCTCCCACCTTCCTCACCCGCTCTCACCCTGTCGTTTATTTATTATTCGCTCTAAAACTCAGGCCATTGGTTGTAGCGGCACCCACGAGTCACAGACCACCTTCTCCAGCAAGAAGTATTTTTCCCCGTTAACCCCTTGGTACGTACGCCGGTGGTAAGTATTCCGGCTCGGCAGGGCTCGGCGGCTCGGTGGCTCGGCGGCTCGGCGGCTGTGAGTCTATCCCCTTGGTAGGGCAGCTAAGCCCCCCCCACCCCGGTAAACAGTTGGTACGTGAAATTTTTGGGGTTTGTGACTTGTGGGTGTCGACTCCGCCAATGGTGCTTTCCGTTTTGCGCTTTCTTGTCTCTGTGTTTTTCGTTATGCTTTGCCATTCTCGACTGACGCATTTTATCATGACCCTTGATCAGCCGAGCATCTTGTTTAACAGCATTTGTGCACTCTGTGCTACTGATCTCCAGCTACTAATATTCCCTGCCTCTCTTCGTTCCTTTGCAGGACAATCTTGAGTCTTGGCTGGTGGTAGAGCTAACGTCAGCTTTACCTGCTACCAGCACCGCCTGCTACCAGCAACACCTGCTGCCAGCAGCACCTGCTGCCAGCAACACCTGCTGCCGGCAGCACCTGCTACCAGCGGCACCTGCTACCAGCAGCACCTGCTACCAGCAACACTTGCTGCCAACAGCACCTGCTACCAGCACCACCTGCTGCCAGCACCACCTGCTACCAGCACCACTTGCTGCCAGCACCACCTGCTACCAGTACCACCTGCTACCAGCAACACCTGTTGCCAGCAGCACCTGCTGCCAGCAACACCTGCTGCCAACAGCACCTGCTTCCTGCTTCCCTGCTTTCCCGCTTTTAGGGGGCAGGCAATGGGAGAATGGGCGGCTGCGATAACTGTGCACAGAGGAAGGGGAGGAGGAGGGGGAGGGGCAGCTGCAACAACTGTGCACAGAGGGAGGAGAAGAGGAGATGGAGAAACACCTCCTACCAGCACCACCTGCTACCAGCACCACCTGCTACCAGCAACGCCTGCTACCAGCACCACCTGCTGCCAGCAGCACCTGCTACCAGCAACGCCTGCTACCAGCACCACCTGCTACCAGCACCACCTGCTACCAGCAACGCCTGCTACCAGCAACGCCTGCTACCAGCACCACCCGCTCCAGCACCACCTGCTACCAGCACCACCTGCTAACTGCTTCCCCCCTCCCTCGCCTTTGGGGGGCAGGCAGAGGTAGTGTGGACAGCTGTGACAACTGTGCTGTGCCGCCATGGCACCAGCGTAGATCTCAGCCTCACAGCTGGACTGGGCAACAGACGACGAGCGAGTGGATCTCCAAGAGATAGCACCCGAACCAAGGCTAAAGCAGTAGCCCTGCGACGACCTGAGCGTCTCAGAGTCGTCTGCCCAAGACGCGTCTGTGTGCCCAGTGAGGACCACTGGCCTGCGTCCTCCTAACACTAACCCCATGCCGGATGTACTTGCTAGATATCGCAAAACCCTCTTAGCGGCCGACCAGTGCTGTGGTCGGTGTCTGCCAGTGGCCACAAAGCGAGCCAGGATGCTGAGAGGGTATGCGAGATCTGGGCGAGTGCAAGTCATCAGGTACATGAGGCAACCCACCAGCTCTGCGTAGGGGCTGGCTCTACTGGCTCCTCAGGAACGGGAGCGGAGAGCCCGTGGTCTACGGGTAGAGGTGTGGGCTGTGCAGAGGAGAACTGAAGGCCGAACCTCTGAAGGACCTGACGCACCAAGTGTGACTGTGTCAGAGTGATGGTGCGTGCTGCTCTGTCCCTAGAGATCTGCAGGCCAAGATAGCGACGCAGCTCTCCAAGGTCAGTGCAGGTGTGTCTCTTCAGCAGCTCGCCTTCACAGAGGCCAGTGCGTCCCTGTCAGCAGTAGCAAAGACCAGGTCGTCTACGTAGACAAGGATGTAGAACGGAGTCTGGCCGGACGCACAAAAGCGAGGGTCAGAGGACGACGGAAAGAACTGCAGGTCTGCTAACGTGGCACGCAGCGTGTCGTGCCACTCGCGGGGAGCCTGACGCAGGCCGTAGACCGGGCGCCTGAGAAGCCACTGGGTCCCAGGGGGAAGGTACCAGTGAAGCCCTGTGGTCGGCGCAGGTAGACCTGCTCGTGTAGGCTGCCCTGAAGAAAGGCAGTAGAGAAGTCGAGGGAGTGAAGCTCGTAGTCGCGCTGTGCTGCTACGTGTAGCAGCGCCCGAAGAGTGGTCATCTTCGGGGTCGGGGCGAAGGTCTGGAAGAAGTCCACCCCCTCGCGCTGACTGAAACCTCTGGCCACGTAGCGCGCCTTGAAGACAGGCGGCTCTCCAGGGGGCGCTTCACCTTGAAGAGCCACCGACCATCGACTACGTTCACCCCAGGTGGGGGAACTGCGTCGACGTAAGTGCCGGTGGACCTCCAAGATGCCATCTCCTGCTCCATGGCAGCTATCC